TGTCAAAAGCCCATCCCTGCAAGCACCAACCTGGCAGAGGAGACAGAACCTCCATATGGAAAATCAAAGCAAGGGTTCTGGCAAGGAGTCGCAAAGATGGTTTGAATCAAAGGCACAGACAGCCCTTGGATATTGGGGTGGGGGCTTGGGGGCTGTCTGCACCATCGTGCCAAGATGGTTAGGAAGCTGGGCCAGGGAGGCCCCGTCTGCATTGGGAGCCAGATCATGGCGGGTCTCTGGTTTAAATTCGGCTCATCGGAGGGTCCTCTGAGCTAATTGGGAAGGAGCCGGCCTGTGTTTTCTTTCCTGCTTAATAACAAGGGGGAATTGCGTACAGCTCTGGACTTTATTAGGGGGAATTTGACATTGTTTTGTTGGACAGCGGCACCATCCAGGGAGCTAATCTCTCACACCTGCTTGGCTTTGTTAAGGAGCCAAGGGGCCCGGCTGGTTTGCTGTTGGTTACTGCAAAGACTGATGAGAGAGGAAGCGAGGAAGGGACGAGAGAGAATGAGGATTTTCCTCCTCAACCTGAACGCTAAAAACCCAGCGCTAAAGACAGAGCCAGTGCCAGCAGCAGAGGGGATTAGCTCTGTGTGGGGATGAACCCCATCTAATAGCATCCAGCGCCCACATATTTACTGAGCAGCTACTACATGCAGGGTGCTGGCTGGTGCTGACAGCTGGCAGGATGGGCGGAGCCACTGCCCTCGGGGAATTCCTGTGCCGCGGGAGTTTCTGGACCATCCCAAGAAAATATACGGGACTTCTTGTCTTCGTGATTCCCACAAGCTACACTTCTGGGGGAAGCTCCTGGGGGTGGGGTGGGGAAGAGTGGGGGGCCGGGGCTGACTCCTGGCGGGTGCCTGCTCTTCTATTGGAGTGAGCTCCACCATTATAGGGTATTTCACAGCCTGGCTGTTCATGTTGTAGGGGAAATTTTATCCTTACTACTGTAGAAGCTGCAGAGAATACGTGTGGGTGTACATACCTGCCAGGGGAGAGACGACACCTTTCCTGGGGGCGAGCAGAGGACAGGCCAGGGTCTCTGTCCCACTCTTTCCCTTTCGCGGGGGCCGCTGGCAAAGGAGTCGCTGGCGAAAGAAGCTGCTTGAACCGCGCAAGCGAGGACGCAGGTGCCGGCCCTCGTGGGCGCGAGAGGAGCGTCCGGCTGCGCCCGCGGCTCCACGTTTGAGCCTCAGCCCGGGCCAGAAGCAGGTTATGACAAACTGAAAACGTGCGGCCTCGGCCAGGAGACCGGAAGCAGTAGACAGAGCGTAGAATCTAGTGGCCACCAGGCCTTAAGGGAGGGGCATCCCGTGGGTGAATGAGGAGCTCCCCGCTTCGTGGGGGGCGGGGCCGGCCTTCCTTGCTTGATTTTGCTTGGAAAAAAATAAATAAATAAAAAGGGTTCCACTATTTAAAAAGAGACAGCCAGGTGGGAACAAGCGCTGTAGCAATGGAGCTACCGAGCCGGGACATGGCTGCCCTCCCCTCCCCCCACGAGGTGGCCCAGCGGGCCCACGGCGGATGCCCAGCGCTGGGCCCTGCTGTCGTGGGTGCGGTCCTGAGAGTTGCAGCCGACCGCAGGGTGTTCAGATTGCCAAGTGCGTTCTCTCCCTGGACCGCGCTGCCTTCTTGCATAAGCACAGGTCTGAGAGATGGCACTTTCTAGAAGCGCTGCTCCAAAGATGGTGTTTTTGATCCTTCCTTGAGACACATGACCTGGGAATCAGGAGGGCTGTGTTCAAGTCTCAGGTTATTGACCCTCGGTCGTGTGACTTGGGGAAAACTATCAGTCCTTCGAGCCTTAAGATGTACACCTGCCAAGTGGGCTTATTCGCTGCCTTGCTTTATCACGAGCACGCATGAGCGCTCATGGCTTTGATGGTGCAAAAGTCCATTTGGAAATTGCTAAAATACCAGAGGTCTGAACATCTCGATGGTGGGTCTGCTGAAGGGGGTGGGCAGGAACAGCTGGCACTGTGTTATTTTTCTGCCAATAATCACCTGTCTGTCATTCTGTAATCTTTCCCACCAAACCAAAAGTGAGTGGTGAACCAGAGAGACCCATATACTGGTACTTCGTTATCATCCCATAAATCATTAAGATCGTCCCCTATTTCACACATAATCAGGTGAGTGGACAGAGGGGCTGGTGTTTATCAGCTAGCTCCCTGGAAAGAATGTATTGTACTTACACAAATAGAAGTTGCTTATAAATCTTAATATAAAGATGTGGGCCCTCCCTGGTGGCACAATGGGTTAAAGTGGAGATATCATAGTCACTGCAGCACAAGTTCGATCCCCGGCCAGGGAGTGACCCACAGGGCCGGCAGACCTCTCCTGTTTCCCCGCTGCTCCCCTCAGCAGTGTACTTCATTGATCTGCATGTTCTGCTCCCTACTCTGTCTCTGGTGAGTCATCTCAGCCCCTACACCTCTGGCCTGTGCCCCAGTGCCTGTATGCATAAATAATCTTTTAATAATAAAGAAGATGTAGCTCATACTTTGCAAATAATTCTAAAATAGTGGTAATTCCTGTTGTAAACTCCATATAGCTCATTGTTCTCCAAAAACATTCCACTGATGTTTCTTTTCCAGGGGATCAAGAATGTATTTAGTTCCAGGTGAATGCTGCTTGTTTTTATTTATTTATTTATTTTTATTCCTATTGAGGAATAAGATGCAAGTATGAAAACATGTATTAGAATGTCATTTCTTAGGGAAGAAATTCACTTCACTTCCATGAAACTAGTTGCTTCTTCACTGAACTGGGGGATAGTTTTTGATTACTGGAAGAGTATTTCCTTAGTATATATTTTTGCCCACTTAATGTTAAAACTATGGGAGTGATAGGTTTTGTGTTTGAGCTGTGTTCTTAGTAGTTTCTTCACCACTCCAGTCTAGACAAAACCATAAATCACACCCAGATTTGTTGAATTACTAATTTTCCATGATGTTCGTGTTCCCACTATGGTGAATTTTTGGCTAAAATTCATTGCCTACAGATTGAGGGAGAAGGGGCAGTTCCCCACCATAGATGTTTCTACAGTGGAGGTACTGACCCTCAGCAGCAGAGACGATTGTAAACATTGCAAAATAGCAAGGAAGTGATAAGGTTGTTTACTTTTGCTTTTAATACAACTTATTTAATTGCAAGTTAATAATTTCTTTCTTTTAAAGATTTACTTATTTATTTATACAGAACTGGGATACAGGCCAGAGGTGGAGAGGGTTGAGAGGATTCACCAGAGACTGAGTGGGGAGCAGATCGGGCTGATCGAAGAAATACACTGCTGAGGGGAGCAGTGGGTGGGTCAGGAGAAGTCTGCTGTGCCATGTGGGTCACCTCTGGGGCTGGGGCTATCAAACTCGCACTGAAGCGGCTGCAGCTGGCTTGCAGTGCTGCATTTTAACCCGCTGTACCACCAGGGAAGGCCCAGAGTTGAATTTTTAATAGTGATTGTTTTTAACAAGTGCCTCAAAAAACTGTCAGTGTCACCGTCAACACTTGTGAGTAAGCACCATCGGCTCTGACGAAACCTGTGTATTTGCTTTTTCTCTTCCTTGTGCATCTGAGGTTTCTAACACTCAGAAAGGGTTGTTGAGGCCTTCTATGGTCAGATGCCAGGGATTCAGGGACAGAGTCCCAGTTCTCATGAAACTTACAGTGTTCTAGAAAAACAAGCAAATACAGCAATGTTGTAAGGTGTGTGTGTTCAGTTTTTAAATACGAGAGAGAAACACTATGCTTGGTGTGAACGTGTGTATTTGTTGAATTTTTATATCCAGTTGCCTTCTGGGCCTGCCACTTTCTGTCTCTGCTCTCCAGGTTTCTGCCTAAAAACTCTTTCTCAGAGAAGACCCTGGGCTAATGACTGGGGGAGTTTGTCCCCTCACTGGTCATTCACGTCAGACTGTGGCCAGCAGGCACCTGGCCCAGTACGAAGAAGCCTCGAGACACCTGATTTACCTAGACACCAGCCTCGCTTTTTACCATCAGAACTTTCTGCTGAGTCTCTCACCCTCCTTCATGAGCAGCGCAAATTCTGGATCCATAGTGGAAATTTGTGCACACAGAATTATCGCAAACGCCCACTTGCCTTTGATTAAGAATAAAACTGAGTTTGTGTTGCAAGTTTTCCTCACTCCAGAGGTTCCCTTCAAATCGGGGACCCTCCACGCGTGGTGACCCCTCAGATGATGTGCAAAGGTGGGGTGCGCTGAGTCCATCCATCCCTGGCCCAGGGATGAGCGTGTGTCCACATGCGTGCACGCACACACACACAGCAGAAGCCTCCCAGCACGGAGAGGCAGAGTGTGTTCACCAGGGGCTCTCAGGGAGACCTCTGTCATCGTCTTAATAGTTCCCCAAATAACTCGAAAAACTTTAATTATGTGCGGGCCTTATTTTCAGCTGCTGTTATCTTTTGAACTCCTGGAAGGTGGGGAAGGGCACACTCCCAGCCTGGCTTTCTCTAAAGAGCCTTTGTCTTTCTGCCCAGGTATTAAGTTGGTGGCGCAACAATCGTAGGTACATTTGGTTCACTTCTCCCCACCCCCCGCCCCCAGCGCCATCCTGGGTCTGAATGTGGGCCTGTGTTCTCCTGGTCCACCGTCCTGGGCCCTGCAGAGGGGACCAGAAGAGAATGGGCCACAGGAATGCACCCAGAACAGAGCCAAATTGTTCAAGCTGCGTGAAGAAGAAAGAAAAAACGAGGAGGGGGGAGGCTGGGACACGAAGAAAAGCTTTCCTTGTTGGTTCAATTTCGCTGCAGATATTTGGAGGATAACACAGCATTTTTTTTAGGGGGGGCTGGGGGGGAGCAAAAACGGGAGCGTGGAGTTTTATCGGCACAGTGGCTCATACAGAAAGGTGACATTTGAGAGAACAATTGCTGGGTTGTTTGGCCACATTCGCTGCTATGAATGAAGCTAAAGAAAAGCTGTCTTTGGGTTGCTACTAATAGTCATCTTCATCATTCCTGCTCTCTCTCTCTCTTTCTCAGTTCCCTTATGAAATAAGGGCACACAGGTAATAAACAAAGCACTATAAAAGATCAGATGGAGGTATTCGGCGAGCTCATTCAATATCCAGAGCCAGCGTGCTGCTCTCGCCACTGGGGCTTTCGGCTTCAAGAGCAGACTTCAGACTCAGAATGGTGGCGGCCCTAGGCCAGAGAGACCCTTCTCCTTTCTGCAACCCGGCTGAATGGCGCAGGCCGGGTCCTGGGTCAGCTAGCCACCCCTGCTGGCCGAGGCACAGCGGAAAAGATGACAGAGTAGAGACCCTGGGATTTGCTGATCTGGATTTTGGATGCTACCCTGACTTCCTTTGTCAATCCTCAGGCCAGATCCAGGTGAGTGGCTGCCTGGGTTAGGAAGCTGATCTCTTCCACCAGCTTTGACAGATGATTCCGTGGGGATTCCATTTCTTCTCCTTTTGCCATGGTTTAGACACTGGGGGTGACCTGCCATCCCCCAGTAGAAGTTTTCCTGGCTATCTACATGTCTGGAAAGATATTGTATTGACATATAAGGGTGAGTGAGTGGGGTGAGCTCACTGGATTTGGGGTGAATAACTGGCAGTGGAGGGGGAGGTGAATGATGCTTCTCCTAACAGGCAAGCTTCCTCGCACAGATCTAATTCCTGGCCGGGCCTCTGTCTTCTGCTTTGCCTACACTATGGTGCTTTGACTTCAGTTGTTGAGATTCTCCAGCGGGGATCAAGAGAAAGATTGGCCTGTCAGGGCAAAGACAAGGACCGCAGGTGGTCAGCTGTGGGCCTGGCGATGGCCAGGAGTCTCCTTCCACGAGTTGGTACCCAGTGCTCTTGTCTAGAAAGCTCTTCCACATGATGCTGAGCTGGGCCCTGTAGGCTGGTCCTTTGCGTTGACAAGTGGCCAAAGATGAAAGCGGGACCTGAGGGTTCTGGAATTCTCCTTCCTCAGAGTCTTGCTGCGTGTGCTCTGCCCTCTGTCCTGCCTCACAGTTACCGCCCCGGGCTGTGGGACTATGCCCGAATGCAGGGACATCACTTTTACAGGGACGAATGTGGGGCTCTGTGCCCAGGCTGATGTGTGGGCAGGTGCAGTTGGCTGTGTGTCATGGGGTGTCCTTAGTGATGTCTGACAGCACCTGGAAAATGCCCCTCGCGATTGTTTCAGGCAGAGAAGATTGTTCTAGCTGCTGTGGTTCCGCTCTGTCCTCGTTAGCGATTAACACCCAACACTAGGCTCTCTTGTTCAGCCTCAGGATTTTTCATGCTTCCAAAACAAACTGTTTATTGTTGTTATTTATGTTTAACCTCCACTGTGTGAGGAGAGAAACGGACGGGTCAGGGGTTTCAGCTCCTCTGTAGCAAAGGAAGATTTTCTGGGCTCCACTGAAATCTCACAGTCACAGGTGAGAGGCTTGTGTGTGTGTGTGTGTGTGTGTGTGTGTGATGGACATTGTGTGCAAACAGGGGTGGCTTGCTTGTTCTGCCCAGGTGTGTGTATGAGGATAAATCATTTTACTGGAGAATATTGATGTCATGCGACTTGGCAGTTTAGACTCAGGCTCTGGATTTTTCAACAGACTTTCCTGAGAAACTGTGTGGGGCAAGCGAGGTTGCATGCAGCGAAGGCGTGGCGCTAATTCGTAGGAGCAGGGTTACATTTCCGGACTCGTGAACGCACAGTTGAACCCACCCAAGTCTCCTCCGTAACGAACAGTCGATGCTTGCAAGGGTCTCTGGTTTGGCGTCACATGGAGAATGTCCTCTTTATTTTCTCAGCCTGCACACTTTTTTTTTTTTTTTTCTCCTGTGCTTGTTTTCCAAGTGGCACAGATTTCTCCGGAATTAACAAGGTTTTTAATATGACTGCTCTAGAATGTCCCTGCAGACATCTGGCTTTAACCTCTGCCAGGAACGTAGTAGGAATCTGGGAGCTGTTGAACGGGAAAGGGAAGGAGTGAATGGT